CTGGACATCAAGATGCCTAAATGCATGGCAAATGCCTCCTTTTATAGGCCAAAATTGGGAACTATTGATTTGATGACTAATTGATGAGTGAGTGACCAACTCTTGACCTGGTGGTAATCCTTATCTTCTCTTGTCTGCCCAAAATATCATTGATAATGTTATAATTAAAACCACTTGAAAACATGAAAGTTATAGGACATTGTCTCAGCTTTCCAAGAAAGAAAATAGAGGTTATTTGGACTTCTAGAACTTCAGATATGGGCTAAACACACTGAATAGTATTCGGGTTGTAGGACAGATTTGGACTTCTTCGTTGTTGCTACAACTTGGACTTGAAAATGACCTTTTTAAAACCAGATCTCACATGAAAGTTATAGGCCTATGTCTTACCGTTCCATCCATATAAAGTAGACATGAATCCGAGATTTACAACTCTAGATATGATCCAATTACCGAATAATGTTTCGGTTTAGACTACACCAGCGTATTTTTTCTAAGTTTGGTCATCTCTTTATCCTTTCAATTTCAATACTTCAACTTATCAATTAATCATTTTATTTATGTGATAGACCTATATTTAATATGAATATTTACACAAATTAAAGGTATCTTATGTTATTAGATATGTTATTATAAAACATACTTTAGTTAAGGAGTTATTGATACTTTAAGTGCAAAATGATAATATAAAACCTTGATAAAAATGCACTTTTAAGTACTAATCACTAAACATATATGATATCTTGCCTAGTTTATTAGATTTGAAAACAATCTTATGGTTTTATTTAATTTATAATCTTTGTTTAGTTTATAATTGTTTTTTTTTTTGTCCTAATAAACTAAAGTACAACAAACAAGATTAAAAACCATAGTTTTCTCAATATATTCCCATAAGCATAACAGTCACATTGTTGTATAATTTTCTTAATAGAGCTAGTTGTTATCTAACTGAATTCCCATCAATATAGCATGTGACACCATATAGACCAAATTTTACTGTAATGAATGAAAAATAAGAAACAGCCTTATTAGGACCAAAACAAAAGGACAAATGTTCCTTATTGCACTGATGATACCTTTACGACAAAGAAAATAAATAGTGCTCATCTTCGTAAGAATGACTAGCCATGTAAAAGCCTTTATTTTTAGAGGTTCAAAACCCTTTACATCAAAATCCTAAGTTGTAATTTTATTTTTGAAATGAAGTCTGATAATTGTTATTTATATACATTATTATAAAACTATTTTTGTCTTTTTATTTATTATAATAATATATAATACTAAAAATATATGTTTTATTTCTAAAATAATGGTTAATAAATTAATATAAATCTTTAAGTCAATATTATTTATAAGGGATTTAATATTAAAAATTCACATGCATGCAATAAATATGTGTGTATGTACATGTATCTTAACTACTAACTATTGTATATTGATACGACTAAAAGATTGATATCTTTTTCCAAATGCAGGAGTGTCAAAGTAATAAATAACCCGGCAAGACCGAGGTCGAACCACAGAGAGGTTAACTATATAAATTATAAATAATAATAATAAGGTAAGGAAAGGGTTAAATCTCAACATTGCAAAGAAAAGACTAATTCTTAGCCAGCACTTCCATTTCCTTATCCTATGACCAATCAGGAAGAAAACAAGGATGAACTAGGTTAGAGGATCCACTAATGATATTTCATTTGTCAACTCAATTGGATAACCAAGACAAAAGAAAATTTTTAAGCGACTTGCAAAAACCATACACAGGA